GATACTTTTGCAATTCATACGCGCCGCCGCAGTGCAACTACCGCACACAGAGCTCCTTCATATCAAGTGTAAAAATGTCTGGGTCTGGAAGAATGGAAGGTCTGTCATGCTCTGCCAGCATGACCCCAAAGTCTGTCATGCACGTTACCCAAGAGCCCCGTTTTTTTGTCATGCAGAAACGCAGTTTGTCATGCAGAATAGGCAACACTTCGAAGCTCAGAAACTTGTCATGCTGAGCCAGCACTTGTGGCCGCCTCATGATACGCCAACCAGCATCACAAGTTTCCAGACCCAGACATTTTTACATTTGATACTTGACACTCGAGAACAAGTTCCGGGACATCTTCCAACGACTGGAGCCCTGGCGCACCAGTATCCTGAGTAAAAACGTCCCCAAACCAGAGTCAAGATGGGAAATCTGCTAGACAAACCAACCAGCTCTGGTTGTTTCGCATGACAAGTTTATTGTCCTCGTAGTGTATTCCTGTTATTAGGTAGGTCAGCAGCGTCACAGATCTAGCGCATGATGCTGATTATAGCATCACAAATTTCAAAACACGACTAGAAAATGCCTCTCATGGGGCTCCGCATGAAAAGCATTTTTACCATGCAGATTTGCATGACAACTCTGGGGTGGGGACGTTTTTACATAGGATAACCAGGAAAGGCGCGGGGGGCCGGGTCGCGGTGTATGGCGGGTCGCATCTCTACGTCGGAGCGCCGTATTTTGCGGCGCAGGCCGCCAAGCTCATGGGGATCGATTTGGTGTTCGTCAAAGCAGGTATCAAAATGTGATGAATAACAGGAGCAGAATGTCTGCGGTTTTGTAGGTTTGTTTCTGATAAGAAGTACCTTGCATATATAATGGTATTATTCCAAATAATTTGCAGCAACATTTTGCAAAGTTTGGAAACAGTAATTCTACGTCGTCATAGACCACGACTGTGCATCATAACAAGCTCCATCCTCCTGGTGTTCCAAGTATTCTTGTAAAACCTACAAAAAAACCACAAAAATCTCCCCAATTTTTCCACTCCATTGCAGGCCACGCTTCGGTTGCGAAGGGGATCAAGGCAAAATCGTGCGACATCATGTGTGCGGAATACGACGACCCGAACGACTACAAAGCCTTCACCACCGAGGACCGTGAAATTCTCGCCAAGTGCGACTGTCTGATCATCGGCCCGGGGTTGGGACGCGGCGAGGAGGTGAAGAAGATGTTGCGGGAGCTACTCGCGGACGAAACCATCTGGCCGCCGACGAAGCCGCTCGTGATCGACGCCGACGGCCTCTACGCCATGACCGCCCCCGACGCGTCGTTGCCCCCACCACCCTCCGCCCGGGGCGGGAAGCCGGCCGACAAGTGGAGCGCGGACAAGGAAACCATGGACCTGTTCTGGAACTTGTTGGAGTCTCGGAAGATTATGCATTGCAAAAGTATCGTACTCGTGTTATTGCGATCATGCATTACAAATTTTTTTCTCAAGGTAAATCAGCATTGCAAATTTTATTTCTCATGCTGGGGAAATGCGATTTCTACTAGTACGACATACTTTGGCAATGCATAAAGATTTTGCAACAGCAAAACGGGGAAGAGGATCTTCCCGATGGGACGAAGAAGGCCGTGGAGCAGATGACGACCTTTTCCAACCACGCCGCGCCTACGATTTTAACCCCGAACTTGGGCGTATGGAAGTGTCAGAATCGAAATTGACAAAATCAAAACGATTTGTCATGCATAAAATGGATTCCAGTTCGAACTCAGTTTCTAAGTGGCGCATGACAAACTCTGGTGGTGTGCAAATCCAGTTTGTAATGCTGTTTAGGCAAAGAAGGCTGATTCTCTCATGCTGCTTTAGCAGCGCGAGCTATAACCCCAAACAGGCTTAGAATCGGCCTCACTTGCCTGCTCTGCAACACACGTATTTCGCGTCGTGCATTTGATGCATGACAAATTTTTCGATTTTGTCAATTTCGATCCTGACAGTTCCATAGGGCGAGTTGAAGTACGTCACGGAGGCGTTGGACAAACACGTGTTGTGGTTCAACGAGAAGCATACGGACCACATATGGAATGCAAATATGCCTGGGTCTGGGAGATTGCGAGATTTGTCATGCTTGTCTGGCATGAGTCTTAAATCTGTGATGCATGAGCAGGAAAATGGCCTCTTGCCTGTCATGCAAATAAAACGGAGTTTGTCATGCGAAAAACGAAACACACAGAAGCGGCAAAACTTGTCATGCTGGGCTGTATATTGTAGCGCGCCCACAATTCGTAGATTTGCATCACAAGTTTATTCCAGACCCAGACATATTTGCAATCCATATCACACCTTCTACGGCAACTATCCGAACGTCGACGAGTTGTGGCCGGTTTTGAAGCAAGTCCACCACGACCACGCTATCCTATGTAAAAACGTCCCCACCCCATAGTCAAGATGGGAAATCGGCTAGACAAATCCAAAAGTTTTGGCTGTTTCGCATGACAGATTTCAAGAACTCGTGGTGTAGTGCTGTTTGAGCTGGTTCAGCAGCATCACAGATCTAGTATGTCGCGCTGATTGGAGCATGACAAATCGCAAAACACGACTACAAAATGCTTCTCATGGGGCTCCGCATGAGAAACATTTTCAGCGTGCAGGTCTGCATCACAACTATGTGGTGGGGACGTTTTTAAATACGATACACGCGTCCGGGCAGTTGGCCGTGCAGCACTTTGTTCGGGAGCCGACCTTTGGCGTCACGTTCAACGAGGCCAAACCCGTGCAGCGCATGCAGCACACGTTTACGGAAGAACCGAAGACCGCGGCCCAGGAAGCCGCGGCCCACGCAGCGTCGGCCCAGGCGAAGGCAGCAACCCAGCAGGCGGCGGCAGCGCAAGCACAGAAATTGAAGGAGCAGAGGTACACAAATAGCAGGAGCGTCATGCATAATCAGATATCAAGTGATAATATTTATTATCCTGTATGCATTGTTTTGTTTGTAGCTGAATAAAAATACTTATTTTGTAATGCCATGATATGCATAAATTATTTCGGCACTAATGACGTGAATATGAGACAGCACCAGCTGGTATTTGTCATGCGAAGTGGCACCGCCTCCACCACCCAAAATAGTATCTTCCAAGAAATATTTTTCTCGCTAACAGTGCTGCCAACGGCGGCGGCGATGGGAAAATCACGAAGTCTGGCTCCTTCGACATCCCGCCGGAGCAGCTCGGCAAGGAGCACATCAACCCGGAGCTCCAACCCGATAATGTCATCGAGCAGCAGTACAAACACAAGCCCAAGAACTTCACCGGTGCCGTCGGGAACGGGTACGGTGGCGTCGAACACCCGTCGACCGCGACCACAGATAACGCCGGGCAGGACGCCGCTGACAACCAAGTCGCACTGGAAATGGAGGCGAAACAACTGAACTCTGTTGTGGTGGAGAAGCAGCTGCACCACCAACCC